GAGGTGTGTGACGAGGAACTAGATCAAGTTGCCAAGATTCAGATCGACCTGGAGAAGGCCTTCAACCATGTACAACACAATGTACTGTATAAAATATTAGAACACGTTGGAGTAGACAAAATAATATTAAACTTTGTTGGCAAGGCATATACAGGATGTACTATCCAGCTAATAATTAACGGGAAGCTTACAACGCGTATTAGTGTAGTCATCCGTCAGATAAGGTTACCCACTGTCCCCGTTGCTGTTCTGTATATTTCTCGAACCCTTTTGTAGAAACCTAATTAAAAATAGACACATAAACACATTTTCTCTCCAAAATATAGAAGCAAAACTTCTTGCATACGCCAATGAGGTTGCTGTTTTTTTTTTTGTAAAGATAAGTATTCTCGAGGCGGTGCGTGAAGTGGAGTCTTACTGCGAGCTGACCGGCGCTGCCGTTAATTGGCTAAAATGCTGCGGTTGGCATGGAACATGGGCGATGAAGCCCGAAGTTTTTGAATACACCAGTTTTATGTCAACGCCAACTGAGTATCTTAGTTTTCCACTGCAACATTATATATAAGAGAGCAAATGAATACTGGTCGACGGTAATTCAGGAGACGCAAGAGAAAGCTGATCAATGGGGTGGGTGGGATATGTCAATTTTTACGCGTGCCACTGTCTGTAACATCTTGTTAATTGCAAATTTTTAGTATGTACTTCAAGTTTTGGCTTGCGCTAGAGTAAAGATATAAAAATTACTCCGTGTTTTCGCTGTATTCGTTTGGCGGTCTGGGTGGGAAAGAGTATGTCGGGACAATCTGTTTCGTTGCCTTTGCCGCAAAAGTACGGGAAAGAAGCGAATTTCGTTTGCAAAGGTTTTGTGAGGCGGGCACAGTATACAGCGAGATTTTGACGGCGTTCAAAATACACAGGTGGTACAAATTCCCCAATGAGAGCCTCCGCCTTTCGCATGTGTCATACTGCCATTCTGCTAGGCGCGGCCTCAAGTGTTTAGCCAAGATGGAATGTTGATAAAACTTATCGTGCCGTCAGATTTGTCAAGCGTCTTCGTCGGTCGACGTTACTGATAAAGCTTATCACAGGCTAAAACAAGGAATGTAGAATCTTGCAACGGCAAACCATAATAGAGGCGATGCTTCCACAATGTCGAACTGTGGACGCAGCATGCATAAAAGTAATATTTGTCGTATCTATCATAACGGCTGTGACTAGCGTTTACGGCCATTTGGTTCGCATTGGTTCGAGTTAAAGGAGAGCTCCGGCGTCAATGTGAAAGTTTTCAACTGAACATATATATATTTTTTTTAAAGAGCGCATATAGAGCAGCGAGCTAATTTCCCCCAAAAGTTTTAAATAATTTCTAATCGTACAACTACGATGTAACCCAAACCGAACCCAACCTGCAAATTCACTGGTTCGCCATCTTGTCACGTCAGATGCCGTTTAAACATCAGCACATGAGCAGCTTGAGTGTGCTTTGCCTAAATGACTTTAGTTTTGCCCAGCGTCACAGGCAGTCAGTATAGGCCGTCGCGATCTTCCGAGTTGGATAATGAACTACGATTCATCGAGCTTGTCTTAGTCAAGCAATGACCAGCAAATGATATAATATTTTCAGCACGAGATTTCTGACGATTTATATTAAAAATAGCGCAAAATAGACGGGACAAAAAAACGAAGCACACAGGAGAAGCGCTATTAGCGCTTGTCCTGTGTGGTTCTTCGTCTTTTTGTCCCGTCTTTTTTGCGCTATTTTTAATATGAATGTCAATTACCCACTTGCGCAGCAGACCAAGCTCTCCCGACGATTCCCCGTTTCCATTCGATCCACCGGCGTCGAATCTTAGGGGACCTCCCGTGGGGACTACATTCGCAAACCGCCGACATGAGGACTAAGATGCCGCTTCGAAGCAGATTGACACGGAAGGTTTTATTTGCTAGCAAGGCGTGAACCGTTTTCTAGTACGACGCGAAAGTTAGGAGCCAGCTTTCGCGTCGGACTGCTCGGACCCCCTCCGTCGCGGAGACTTCTCGGTCGAAAACCAATATTATTTCCCTCTGCTGCATTTATTCGTGATGTTATGGCACCCAATAGCCCATCATCAATTCCACCCGCCCTCTATCAAATGCCGCAAAGAGCCTAAACCAGACGCATTTCGCAAAACCACAGACGGTTACTGTCACAACGCCTTGGATTAGAGAGCGTCGTCTGCTCTCGCAGACAACATTTGACGTCACGAGTGCCCCTACTCGTTGTTGGCAGTTGAGTGGCAGCAAGTGATTCGGACGTGTCCGCGTAAACTTCAATATTAATTTGCTCTAAAGGAAACAAATATATTGATTAAATATTTTGTAGACATATTCACGTGTCGACATTTAGTACACGGTGAAAATTGCATACAAATCAATGACCATCAAGATTTCGCCGGAGCTCCGCTTTTACTACAACCCAATCAGAATGCAAGGCGTACAATTGACGTAGTTAGAGACGTACGCTGACACACGCCAGCAGGAAGCGCATATGGCAAAAACCAGGAGCTCAAATTTGCACCCTTTGCACGCCAGCGTCCAAACTTCTGTGGCCGGTCGGCAGCAGCACCGCTCTGGGCTGGCGGGAAGTCCGCAAGTTCCGTCACCGATTGAACCAAAACGACACCTCATCGCGCATTGGCTATCACTCTAAGAAATGCCTGCGCGTCTCCTTACCCGCAAAACACTCGAAGAGCCAATCTCAGCGATCTACGAAATCAGCTCAGCGAATGATGAGGCGTAGCGTGTGTTTAGACCTTAAATTTAAGCGTTGTGGCATTACGCAATTTAAAGCGTCATGCTTGCATTGCGTAATGCGACAGCACAGACTTAATATTGAGGTTTAAACAGATGTTCCGCCTCAGCTGATCTCGTAGATCGCAGAGATTGGTTCTTCGAGTGTTTTGCGGGTAAGTAGACGCGCAGGCATTTCTTAGAGTGTAGTACGTATCGGAGTTATCGTTATCAGGCGTAAAAGTTGACGACCCAGCTTAAACCCCGAATTTCGCTGCTGTTGCGCACATTCTGACTTTTCTGCACGTAGTCTGTGAGAAAGTCTTACGCTTGCTGCGCGTATGTCCGCGTGTATTATGAATGATCGGAGCGTTACGTTCGTATATATTATCCCGAGTGCAGATTCAAATCCCGGCTGAGGTGACCGCAATCTGGCGGAGGCTTATTGCGGAGAAGGTGCCGTGTAACCGAGATTTCGGTTGCACAACAAACGATCCCCAGGTGGTCGAAATTAAAGGAGCGATGCAACAATTTTTGTACTTTGCGCAAATACCGCTTAAACCAGATCCCTGACGTTAATGACCTATGAAACACGCGTTCGTTTTTCACTTCACGCAGTAGAAGTCCCAGAAAAAAAATAAAGAAAAACGAGCAGCGTTCACCCCCTCAACTCGCAGCCAGAACAAGCGGCCACGCGATCTGGAGCCGGTTATATGCCGCCAATGTTGATCATAGCCACGCGCGCTGGGGTTGGCAAAGCACAGGACACGCGCTGAGTTCCAGATATTGTTATGGCTCGGCTATTGTCGTCGTTGCAGCGATTGGACGCGGGCGACTACCCGAATGCTTCTCGAGCTAGTAATTATCACGAGCCCAAATCGAGTGCCCACGCAATGCTCGGGTCCAATCTATGAACCGCATTCAAATATCGTCACTTGGGTGTACTGCGATCCCCGAGTTACGTCATCAAATTTTGCAAAGGAGAGATTGAATGAAAATGATCGCTTTTGTCCTCGAAATTACACCGCAACAAAGGAGTTTCTTGGCCAGTGGCGTTGCGTGCGAGTATCCTTGAGTCCCAGGTGTGCCAGTAAGCTCGTGCATAGTGAAAAACATTCCAACTGAATATCGTTGCACATCTCCTTTAATCCTCAGTCCTCCGCTGAGCGTGCCAGATGTCCTTTTGTTGGTTTTGGTACGTAAAACCATATATTTTACTTTTCGTCGGTACATTCAGAACATAGCTTTAGGGAGTTTAGCATTCGGTTACGCAATACCGCTTCTCCTCTGGCGAACAAAATGGAATATTTTTCGGTCGCATTTTGGTTGTGCGTCATTACGCTTTCTCACGTTGCTCGCGGACGCTAAGCTAGCAGAATTTCATTAAAGGGTATAAATTTGTTAAAAAAAAAAAAAACGATAAAAAGCATTTTTATCGATTTGATAGGAAACGGAAAGTGCAAGCTGCACCTTTTTTTTTTTTTTTACTTGTTGAAATTTTTTTTTGCGCGCTATTATACAGCGCGTTAACTGATGCTGACAGACGCTTCTAAACAACCGTGGCTGTGGCATGACCGAACACTGCAGGGCCCCTTTAGGATGGATGCAATCATTACGCGTGGTCCGAGGCGCTCGCGCTCCCTGGCCGAGAGAAACAGGTCTATGACTATGCCTCCCCGTACGGCAACGCTATGCTCAAACTGCACATTACTCGGACCGAGGGACACCGTGAACAGCCGTTTATGCGGTAATTTGGACGGAAGGAACGCTACAGCTGTTTGCTTGGGTTTTCATCCGCTCTTGTATCGAATAAAATAATATGCGTTCTCGAAATATTAAAATCACACATAAAAAAAAAGAAAAAAAGTTTGTTTCTCCGTATTTTAAAAGCAAAAAAAAAAAAAAAAAGCAAAAAAAAAAAACACGCACACAAGAAAAAAGTTATTTTTTTTATATATTCGTATTTTTTTAAATGTTTTCATCTTTGTTTAGCACTCATCTACTCGGTGGGTCGCCTAGTTTAGTTTCTAATTATGTGTTTTAATATGTTTACAATGCCATGAGCAGTCTTAAAATTTTGATGGCAATCTGAACGTGAAGTGTACATAATGCAAGGTGGTAGCTTCCGGACGGCGACAGGTATTCATTTCGTCAGTTGCACGGCGCTGCTGCCCTCATCCGGTTATTCATTCGTAATCTTCTACGAGGCCGATGGCGAGCCGTAGCGTTGCACGTAGAGCACGCGTCTCTAGGGTTACGGCAATAAGGGAGATAAATGACGCCTCGCTCGGTGACCTGGCAACCCTATCGGAGGGGATGACGGAGTTATCTTGACGTCACTCGAGGGCTTGCCAAGGTATGTCGTACAACTGCGGCAAATCGACGCAGTAGTTCGGGCTCGAAACAGAGTGTTGGGGCTGCCTCATATCCCTGTCCACTTTTTAAGGTAAGCCTTTTTGTTGAAGACATGCTGATGCTGCATGCGCTTTTTGAACTCTTTTAGTTGAATGAAGCGGATCCTTATTCAAAATTTGGTCGTAGCCGCAACCGTTGCTTTGAACTCTATTCACTAAAGGAAGAATATGTTTGCGAAGATCATTTGGAATTCTTCGTTAGCGTGGGAGTTTTTCTCATGGCGGTACACGGGAAAGCATGAGCGACGGTGTAAAAGGGGAAATTGAATAGACGAATCAATGTACCAATACCGGACGGAATAAAGATTTTCACGGACACATTTTTCTCAAAGAAAGTCAAAGACACTTTTCCAAGTGTCCTTGATTTTCCTGCTCTTTCTATTACTTCTAAAAGTGCAGCTTTACTTCGGCATGTATTGCACGGATCGGGAGGTTAAAGTAAATTCTTGTACCATAACAAAAAAAGCTACGGAAGAGCAATTTGTTACGAATCAACCAACCACGTGAGGGTAGATTTCAATATAGAAGGATTGGAGTTGGACGACTTCATTAAAACTCAGAGTAAATTAAAAACGTCAACAAGTGGCGGAAGCTATAGTCGCCGACAGCTTAAAAAACGCAGAACGTGAACAATTATGTTCTCCAGGCTTTTTGTTTAGTGATTATTTTCTGCAGCCTTTTTATCGCCAAATGCCACGATTTCATTTGCTGTGGAGCGATAATAACATGCTCGGTACTCCTCGCCACGCCAATCACCTAGTGACTAGGCGTTTTCTTTAACGTGTTAGACTAACACCCATACAGTCCCCCCTTTAAAATCGGGATGGGCGTAGTCAGTTCCACATAGCTTCCTTATCAGCAGGCATCGTGTGAGGTTGCCGCATGGTTGCGCAATGGCCTCGTCCAGCAGCACAGGGGTCTCGAACTCATTCGAGTGTCCGACCCCCGAAAGGTCTGTAGGGTGAGCGGTATCGGGTGGCAAAGAAAAGCAACAGTGGGGCATCGTCTTGCAGGGAAGCGACACCTATATTTCTGGTCCAGAGAGGGACCTCCCCGGCTATCTGCTTCTCGTAAAATTGCAGTTTTATTGCGGGGACATTTCTGGCTTTTACTAATTGTTTGCACAGGGTGATGTGATCACGACATTTAAAATGGCGCCGTCTTGTGGACGTGCTGGCAATTTTCGATAGGACGAGAGGGCACAGTGTCGTTTGTTCCTTCTCTAAACTTTCTCCCCGAGACAAATCTTCATACGGCAATTTTTATTTTCCTTGCAATTTTTATAAAAGTATCTTTATAAAATAAAACTTGTATTCAAGATATATATATATATATATATATATATATATATATATATATATATATATATATATATATATATATATTTTTTTTTTTTTTTTTGCTTATGCATTGTTTGACCTTTAGAAGTGCTAAGTCTGCTGGATGGAAGCCGAAGCTCATAGTTTTGGCAGTTGCTCCTGAAGCGGCGGGGTCACACTGCTCATACATCATACAAGGGACAGTCTGCAAACACGAGTCACCACAAGATCCGTGGTTCGAATGCCGCGTGCCAAGTTCTCTCCTTGAACTCATTGCCATGCGGCATTCGAAGCACGGATCTCGCGGTGACTCGCGTTCGACTCTGTATGCAGGCTGTCTTTTATACGATGTGACCCCGGCTTAAGCGAAGCTCGCGCGTGTAGCCTAGTATACTCCGTTTCACCTTACGTTGCACCGCAGAGAAGGCTAGAAGCGCGAGCTCATAGCGTTGGGAGCTGCTCTTAACGCACGAGAGCTTGTGCCGCCGAGATGTGCCCTAGAGCAAGGAGCTCGCGCTTGTAGCCTTTCCTGCGGTACATCATAAGGTGAAACAGAGCATAGTAGAATTGGTTTACGGGTGATGAACCTGAGAGACGGAGGGGAAGCGGCGAGGAAAACGAAACAGTGCTCGAAAATTAAAAGATCGACAACATAAGATCCGTATGGTGTTTATGACGCCTGCCTTTCTAATCGCTCGTGACAGGGCAATGAGAGCTCGCAGCCGCGGAATGCTCACGGGCCGTGTCCCAGGCTGTCGCGGGCCTCATGCGACCCGCGGGCCGCGTGTTTGAGACCCCTGTGCAACGAACACTCAACAAGCAGCGCTTGCAGACATGAATAGGGATCTATGAGGAGATTTGTTCGGCGCTGTACGATGCCCATGCAACCTGGAATCTTTAACGTGCTTCATGGAGCAGTGATTACACTACTGCACGCCGCTACGATGTTCATCAGATGGCAACTGGTTGAGTCGAGGACGCGAAATGTTTTGTTGATTGCAGTTGCTAAAGCGACCAATACTTGGAAAACAATTGGAACACGTACTACAGTCTAAAAAAAATCCATGCGTCTACTTTTCCGCGCAACACTCGGAGAGCCAATCAGCGCAACTTACGGAGGCAGCTCAGCGAATGACGATGCCGAAACATGTGTTTAGACTGAAAAACGCAGTCCGAGTTGTGACATTAAGCAATACAAAACGTCACGCTTGCATTGCATAATGCCACAACTCAGACTGGGTTTTTTGACCTAAACATATGTTTCGGCGTCGTCATTCGCTGATCTGCCTCCGTAAGTTGCAGTGATTGGCTCTCCGAATGTTGTGCGGGAAAGCAGACGCACGGGCTTCTTTAGAGTGTAACTACCAAATTATTGTGATAACGGCACTTTGAATTGTACTTAGCAGTCTGAACGCTGTAATTAATCAGCTGTTTAAATCTGTTAGCCAAGCTCGCGAGGCCGTATAGTTTTACCTGTTTTCCTCGTCTATGAACGCAACTTCCCACACAAATAAAGCCGTATTCAAAACCGATCGCCGCACACTTTTTATAAATAACAATTTTAACTCTACATGTAATGTATCAAGCTCACTTGCAAATCTCCGCGTGAAACGACCTCGCCACGTCGAACGAGCAGCCGCCACTCCAATCGCGGCTGACTTTTAGTTTGGAAATCACGGCAGAACAAGACAAAAACAGTTTCTTCACTAATTCCGGCAACCAAGCCACCCTCCATCTGATTTTTCAGAACAAAACGCGAACGTATTGTGATTAGTTTTGCAACACTGACAAGTGCGCTGGTCGGCATGAGCGACGCGGTATCCTTCAAGATGGCGTCGGGGGCTAGTTGCCTTCATGTGAGAAAGATGGCGTCGCTCAACGTATCTCGGGCTCATATTAGCAGCAATATCGCGTTACAAACAATGACAAAGGGAGAGAACACGTAGAGGCACAAACACACTGTTGACTTACAACTGATCACGTTTCTTCTTCTACTTCGTTGTAAGAAGCAGGACCAATGGTACAAAGAAAACGAATTAAACATACTGAAAATCTGCGCTCAACAGATTGACTACTTCGCCAAGCAGTATATAATTCTTTTGGCGAATTCGCGTGGTCATTTCCCGGCAAAATATTTTGCCATATCTCCGCCAAGGGCGTTCGCGTGGTCAAAGGCTGGCTAGTGCGCGCCGTTCGGGTGGCACTTCTCAGGCGTGTGCTGGCAATTTCCCGGCACAATTTTTGCCCGAGCTCCAAGAGGTCGGGCAGCTTGTCTGCCAGACTGTATCCGGTATCGTCATATCCGAATCGGGAAAGGGAACCAAACGAAACAATGGTCGCCGATAGCGGGTTCGAGTAGAAAACGAAGCCATTGAGACAGACACCCCTCTGTGGTCCGAGAAAAGACAGCAAAAACAACGGAGATAAAGATAAAATATTTTAAAGGAAGCTTCCGCAAGATCAGTTTCCTATGGGACACAGCGTGTTATTACACCGCTGTGAAAAAAATGTATTGATAGTGCTGCAGCTCGACACTTGAACGCGCATTACTATATTAAAAGGCTGGGTCAAATCAAAATGCTGAGGATTCCAGCAAAAAGGTAATAACAAGAAACTGGAATATAAAATAACGACGCTGGTGAGCCTTCTGGGATCCTTGTAAGATGGCAACAGTTCTTCGAGAATCTAAACAAAATATATTATAATTTGTTTACCCACATCTCAGAGTCCGAATATATGTTGCTGATGCCTACAGCGTGCCTATATATATCATAAAATAATCGAGGAAGAAGTTAACGAAGTTCACGCGCGACCCAGGCAGACGAAAACGCCAGTTGCAGGCGCTTTGTGTTCGGGTGGAGAGGGTCACGTGGTGCGCCGCTGGCGCGGTTTTCGTTGCCTGTGCCGCCGGCGTGAGCTCGCCGGCGATTGACCACCCGAATTCGCCATTTGGCATGCAGATAAAGAAACGGAAGGAGCGCTGATACACTTGTCATCGAGTTCCGCGATCTTCTCAATAATATCTCTAATTAGAGTGCATTTGTGAACTGGGGATCACAACCACAGTCTCGGCAGTGAATCGATACATGGCCAGAGACAGTCTTCTTCGTGTTATGATGCTCTCGCAGCCGATCGTTGAGATATTTGCCCGTCTGTCCGACATGCATATCGGGCGTCTCGGAAGAGCGGCTCGATGTTGGTAAGGAGGGGAACCAAAAAAGACGTGACGTCACGATTATTGGCTGCAGTATCTTGTTACGTCACAGGTCTCGTCGAGTGACGAAATGAAAATATTTTTTTCAAAATCTGAGATACTCGAATTAATTTTCTGATGAAATCTTAGTTCTCCAGTTTTGATAATTTAGCAGCGTAATTAAATGTACGTAAAATTGCACGAGGTGTGAAGTACTATGATCGCTATTTTTTAGGATGGAGAAGGCCTTTAGCAAAACTGTACTTAAACATTATGTGCAACAAAAAGTATAGATTTTTTTTTTCTTAAATAGCGTTTACGTGTTTTAAATTTGTGTGGTTCTCGGTTGCTTTCACGCACGCGCGTTTCAGAACGACATATAAACCCGGTTCCCATGGTTTTAAACGATGGGACTTTTACGCACGCAACTGTAGGTATAGGTATTCACACGAGGGAGAAATCCCGGGAATTTCTCCCCGCCACGCGCCTCCCACGACGGAAACGTCAGGCTTTGCGATGT